GAAATGATTTTTACCGTGAGTCGCATTTTTTGTGGACATCCCAAACGGGTGCAATTTGTAGAAGATAATTATTTTGTTGTCATATAATTAAAGAAAACGGTTTTGGCTTAATGCATCCTTCTTCTCATTACTCATTACATGGAGCTCAATTTTTAACTCAAAATATTCTAAACTGTGCACTAAATGCTGTTTAAGAAAATGATTTGTTTGCATTTAAAGCTAGAAAATATTTGTCTGGAAATCGTTTAGATGTTAATTTTAAGAATGTTTAGTAACTAGTTCTTCACATTGTTTTTTCAAGATTTTGATATATGCAGAAAAAGAAGACATGTTCTTTTATGAGTATGATTTTTTAAAGGGATTTATTAATGAGTTACTTCAGATTCGCACAAGTTATGAAAGGCATTTCTTGTTGATCAACCCTTTAGTATTCGTATAACCCTATCATAGTTAAAAGGGTGCGTTTTGCTGCAACCCGCCGTGCACAGATGTATTAATTTTCTGAAGTTGCATTTTGTGAATCCTTTCGCCTGCACCATGTTGACGGTTCCTCGCACCAAATTCAATGCAGTTTTCGGTTTCAAATAAACAAATCCTCACTCCAGTGTAAATGAACAATGTAGTAGTGACTGATGTTAAGGTAACCAAATTTTTGGGTCTCTCAATCCAGTCAAATCTCAAATGAACGTCCATTTAAATGAATTGAACATGACATAGAGTTCAATATGCTACGCGTTGCGAATTCTTCCCAATTCGCTAGTCATATTGCTCAATGTGTATATTTCGCGAATGTTCATTCCTGGCCGAGTTCCGGCGTAATATTGCCGGGAAACATGTAGCTCCCAGACTTCTAGATTACAAAAAATATTTGTACGAATAATAAGCAAATCCCAGCCACGTGATTCTTGTAAGTCTCCTTTTATTAACTTAGGAATTCTACCATTGTCTTGCGCCTACTATTGGTTTTACGAATCAGTGTAAACAAAAAATCAAATGCAATACATATCAATTATTTTATAACTCACTGCCAGATAGTATTAAATGATTATAATCGATACCCACGTTTAATTGTTAAGTAAAATATTTTCTGATGCATAACTGTTTCTATTCAATTAGAGACTATACTGAACATTAAACCAAAATTAATATTGATTTTAATGATGTTATTTAATATATATGAGATATCATTTGTACTGTATTGTTCTAAAACACTAAATACGTCTGTACCGGGTGTTGATTGCAGCTTGTCAAAGATCCACTATCTCAATCAGATTTTTCGTCCAGTCTCCTTGATCCTTTGAGCAAATGCTGAGATGGCCCCTGGTTTTGCTTCTGCACATAACTGCAGCTTCACACTATGTGTATGTTCTGTTGAGCTCAGTGAGAAATCTAGTTGTTCAAATTTTCGTTCTCCATGTTCGCCCGGTAGAAAGTGAACACAGTAACAAAGGGCAGGATAATGAGATATGAGACAAAATGTGCAGCTGATTAGCCTTTGCACGGGAGCGAATATTTTCTTACAAATTCATACTAAAAATGCTTGTCGCTACCTGCATTCTTAATTTAATTTAATTTGTAGACGAATTACGGTAGAGATCGCAAATATAAAAAAACCATGCACCGATTGCACTTCTCCCCCGGAAGGTCACTCCCAGTTTATTTTAATCGCTAAATGCATAATGTGCAGATGCAAGTGACAGCGCTTCAGTTTATACCGAAGACGACATAGACTCGGTATAAACGGTTACGGTTACGACGACCGTTAAGGAACCCGAGTTGGCGTTTGGGAAGGTCGGTGCGTGGCCACAATCCTCCCGTCAACCGCTTGCCAAGCTCCGCCCCGCCCCGCCCTGCCCCGCCCCGCCGCCGCCATAGGCCCCGGCCTCGGCCCCCCGCCCCCTCGCCCTGCCTGCCCCCGCCTCGCCCCGCCCCGCCTCGCCTCGCCCCGCCATCCCCGCCCTCACCGCCCCGCCCGTCCCCGCCCCGCCTCGCCCGCGCCCCCCCATCCCCCTCCCTCACGCCCGGGCGCCGTCCCGCCCCGTCCCGCCCTGCCCCGCCTCGCCCCGCCCCCGCCTCGCTCGCCTCGGCCCTGCCCGCCCCGCCCATCCCCGCCCTCACCGCCCCGCCCGTCCGCGCCCCGTCCCCGCCCCGGCCCCGCTTCCGCCCCGCCCCGCCCATCCCCGCCCTCACCGCTCCGCCCATCCCCGCTCTCACCGCCCGCCGTCCCGCCCAGTCCGCGCACCATTTCCGCCCCCCGTCCGCGCCCGTTCCTCCCGTCCCGCCTGCCTCGGCCGCCCCATCCGCCTCGCCTGCCCCGCCCCGCCCCTCCTCCCAACCCTCTAGCAAGGTAGTTCGCCGGCAACAGCTTGCCCCCCGCGCGGCGCGGCGCGACCCCCGGCCCGCGCCAGGGGAAGCGGGGCCTGACCTAGATTCCGGCGGGCGCTGCGCGGCGCGATGCCGGCGCTCGGAATCGTTCTTTCGGCCGCGCGCAGCGTCGGCGTCCATGGCAACCGGCGATGCCTAACCTGTCGCCCGTCGCGCCCCGCGGGCCGGCGGCCCGGCGCACGTGGAGCCTTCGCCCCTCGCCGCCCTCGCCCTCGCCCCCGCCGCCTCGCCCAACTCGCCGCGCGTGTGCGGCCGCCCCCGCCGGCACCGCCGCCCGCGCGCGGCTGGAGCAGCCACGTCCAGGCAGGGCAAGGCGGGCGGGGTAACTTTCTTCTTTCCCCCTTTCACATCCTTTCGATTCTCATGTCACTGTACTTCCTCTGACTGGTCCTAGATTCGAGTCCCGACGTTGGCAGGATTTTCGAGGTCGAATTCAGTCGTTGTCTGGAGGAGAATTTTCATGGGTAGTTTTCCGTGGTTCCTCCGAACAATACCAGGTGAATGCAGCAGTAACCTAAACACTCGCGTCGGATAGCGAGCGGTCTTTCCTTCTTCTTCCTTGACCTAGCCTCACCCCTTACATACACTTACGTGCACTTCACCACGACTCATGCCGGGAGTCCGGTCGGGAACTTCCAGCTTGTCCTGGCTGGGGCGGTGTCCAACTGGTGGGTGACACTTGGTTGGGGAAAACCCCGCTAGCCGACGGTAGATCGGCGCCGAATCTCACCAACCAGTGGGGCAATATCACCCCCACCTCTCTCTCTCTCTCTCTCCCTCCCTCCCTCTCTCTCTCTCTCTCTCTCTCTCTCTCTCTCTCTCTAGAGAGAGAGAGAGAGAGAGAGAGAGAGAGAGAGAGAGAGAGAGAGAGAGAGAGAAATGCGTTACACTTACGGGACTAATGGCTTTAAATATTGGCGCTCCCAGAATTATCAATCAATCACTCAAATCCCTCGTTTCCTTCTCCCGGCCCCTCCCTCACGCGTCGTGGCGAGTGTTCTCCATGTAGATTTGTAGTCCATGCGATTCATATACATTACGAGATTTTTCGCACGAGGAGGTTTCCTCCAACCCTGTCACTGAATGCATTTGAGAAATTTTAGAAGATCATTTAAAAATTCGGAAATGTCTAATAATAATACGTAAATTGTTGTGTGTTCGTGTTTTTTTTTCATCTGTCGTAATAGGTTTTCTACAAGTGTAGTTTGAACACTGCTTCATTTTGTAGATCTGGCAGTTTAGAGTTCGAACATGTCAAAACATCATTTTGCTCAAAAACGTTAGATACAACCTTGTCATTCTAAGACTAAGTTTTTACATTTCACTTTCCTTTGCTTTTCCTTTCATATGCTCTTGTAGTTGCTCCCTAAGACTTTCGTGTGAATAATGTGTCACGAAAATAATAGAGAATTGATGTTTTGGTTGGAGATCGAAAGCCATAACGTAATTTCGTGGTCTGTAAAGCTTTTCTGTTGAGCGTTTTCTCGGTAGAAATTTCTTTCGAGGTGATATTGGAAAAAATACCACCCGGATGCTGTTTCTCAATGGAATTCGTGCTTTCCCGTCAAACCTTTAATGCAATTGGTGTTCAGTCGTTTGTCAGATTCTGTGTTTCCGTATTCGCTTGTTTGCAATAATGTCTCTTTTGTGAAATTGTGTTTGTGAATTGGTTTTGTGTTTTGTTAAATGTGTGTTTTGTCAAATACAATTGTGGAAACTAATGTAAAATTCTGACAAACACTCAGTTTATTTGTCCAAGCTATTTCTCTCGTGAGAAGCAGAAGTAAGGAGTTACCGAAAATTTCCCCGATTAGAGAAACTTGTTCAAAATGTCCCGTCCATTTTCACAGAACAATAAATATAATTTAGTGTTAAATCTTACGCATTTTCGTGGCTGCTAGAATCAAGTGGAGTAGATTGAGAAATGCAAAACACACATTACGAGTGCAAGACATCTGGGTATGGCCCCTGCTCTCCCGCAACCCGCATTACGAAGCATTTAAATTGTATGTACTTGACAATGTCCCTCTTATTATTGACTACTTATTTGGTTTTATAAGTAAAAGAGCATAGCAGCTGTTATATAAATAGTTATGCGATTTAGCATTAGTCACACGTTAGCTGACGAATTTATTAGTTTGGGATGTCGTGTAAACAAGTTTCGTCACCAGATATAAGTTGAAATTATGCTTTAGGTTTCATTAAAAAAGAGGCAAAATAATAATTAATTAGTAATTTAAAATATAACACAAAACTCTACAAAGAATAATATAAAATGAAATCCAGTAGCTTTAATATGAAAAAAAATTTTGTTAATTTTCGAGGAGGACATGCTGCTCTAGCTCACTTCTGTCATGCAAGGCATGATGTTTCCATCTGGGGAGTGGGCCCTAGGGATATTGCCATAACTAATACATTCGTGCAATTTTTTATGAACGCGAAACAATATATGCCTGGAAATGTGTTTTTAAGGCACTGAAATGTGTTTGTAAGGCACTGAAGTGTGTTTGTAAGGCACTGAAGTGTGTTTTTAAGGCACTGAAGTGTGTTTTTAAGGCACTGAAGTGTGATTTCCTTCTCATTGGGTCATTGGTTATTGTGTGTGTGTGTTGCAGAACGACATGCTGGGCCACTCGCTCTTCAGCTTCACGTCGCCCGAGCAGCACGCGGAGCTGCGGCGTCAGCTGACGCCGGACGGCCAGACCGCCGCCCCCGCCCCCGCGCACAGCGCTGCCGCCGTCTCCCCAGGTGAGCGAGCGCTCGGCCTTCGCCTCACTCGGTGTGTTGGCTCGAGGTCATTCGTCCCGCGAGTGTAGTGCATGCACCAGCCGAGATGGTGTTGCTGAAACGCCTCTGACCGGGAGGTCCTAGGGTTCCAGTCCCGACGATGGCAGTATTTACGACACTGGATTGCTGGATTGAGTTCAGCCGCTGTCCGGAGAAGAATTCTAGCGACCGACTGCGCAACGCCAGGCGAATGCCGGAACGGTACACTAACAAACGAGTCGCGGACCGCCCCCCCCCCGATCTTTCGTTCGTCTTCCTTGCCCCTTACCTAAATACAGTTACACTTGCATGCACTACACTGCCACTCATGTTGAGAGTTCAATCGAGAGCTTAGAACTTGTCTCCGCTGTGTCAATGGTGGGAGATACCTGGCAGCGGAAATCTTCGTAAGCCTGAAGTTTAGGTCGCCACCGGATCTCACCTATTAGTGAGAGGAAGATCATCGCCACCTACTCTGATAAAACATGCTCTACACGTAATGAACATAGCAGTTCACGTGCCCGGAAACGCGAATTAATAATGTAGTGCATGTTATATTCCGGACGGCGCCGGTCACAGTAGCACTAATTCTGGCCGAAACATCAGTCGGTTGATGTCGGACGAACAAAACATCTCTTTCCGCCAGTCCGTATTTTTCTGGCGTCGTCGGAAGAGATCTTTCGAGCTCACTAAGACCCTTTCCGTTCACCATCACGTTTTGGAATGAACCTGGCAAATCGGACGAAATCATCCAACATCGGAAGTCAAAAAATTCCGCCAAAATCGGCTCCTCCGGTCTCCACAGGCATGGCTTGAGCGTCACTGCACCAAATTATTGGTGAGACGATTAGGTGGATAAGGTACAGATTATTAGGAGTCCCCTCCAAAGAATCATATATACAAAAAAATACTGTTGGGGGGGGGGCGGCGTCCCCGTTGGTGACGCCTATGAAAGAGTGAGTGTAATTTTGTGGATGCCCATCCCCCAATCACGCATTGATATTTGTTTCGCACTCAGTCCAGTCAAAAAGGTGGCAAAGGGACACTTCAAAACGCGCAAGAACAAGCAAGAGATTGTGTACTTGATGTATTTTCGAGCTGGTGGATGACCGTCCTACTTTTAAAGGCGGCTCCACACATTCGACATTGGCCTTTTGACAAGAGACTGCGCGCCAAATTCCTAGTAGCCGCTAAACGACTGTTCGCTTCCTTTGAAAAGGGCAAAAGTCGGCGTTCGGTAAAGGGCAGGCAGCCCAACCCCACCTCTCGGGATTCCGCGAGCGGTCGCCCCCTCCTCGCCTAAAGGTGGCTCCACACATGTGGCATTCGGCGAATCCCGAGCAACCGCTCGTCGAATACCGAGTAGTATGGACGGGTTGCTTGCGATTCGCCGAGCGCCAAACATCCGTTATTCGCCCTACCGTGTCGGTCTTGAGGACACACCAAAGGGAGCCAACATTCACCGAACACATCAGCTGCTCGGGATTGGGCGAGCAGGAGCTCGCTGCTCGGCGAATGCCGAATGTGTGGAGCCGCCTTTAAAAGGCGTCGCCGTAAGGAGAGGTGGAACACCGCTTCGCCCAAAGGCGCCCTTCGTTAAGGCATCGTGTGGGACGGTCGGTCTGCAGGCGGAGCCTCGGGAGACGACAGCATGAGCAGCGCGGACAGCGGGTCGACGGCGCTGAGCTCGCCGCCGCCCGCGCCGCCGCCGCCGCCGCCGCCGCAGGCGCGGCCCTCGTGCGAGCCTCCGGCATTCGACGTCGCGTGCGGCGTCTGCTTCTGGAGAGGCACCCAGCTCCGGTGCGCGGACTCCGGGCGGGGCGTCGGAACGCCAGCGGCAGCAGCGGTGAGGGCAGCCATTTTGGCAACGGCGAGCGACGCCGGCTCCGTCCGCCTCGCAGCGCTTCCCGCGCCCTTCGTGCTGTCCGCCTGGTCGCAGCGCGCCGTGTCGCGCGGCGACGCCGTCAACTTAACTGAGCCGGTGCGGTGATGGCTACTTGCACGTGCCGCCGCCCGCCCCCGCCCCCGGGCCCCGCCACGCGAAAGCCGCGAGTGAGTGCAGAGCGCGCCGCGTCGGCGGCATGTTTGAGAGTCGGTTTTTGCGCCCAGAGGGAAAGATACCGGAAACCGAACTATTTGCTTAGTCTTTTCCTCTTCTAGTTTGTCCCTGCAGATCAAAGCGTTCTTTTGTCCGAACGCCCGTTCCTCGCGCCTATCCTGTCACGTTTACGCGCCGCCAGGTAACATCCGTGATTAATGCAGTTGACAACGTGGTTTTATTAAATGAAAGAATTTAACTATATTAATGAAGCTCTGGATTTCGTGTGTTCTGTGTATGATTTAAGGTATTATTTGGAAGTCAAAAACTGTATTAGAGAGTAGCTATATATCTTGTGTGCCAGAAGTTCAACTCAAATGAAGGAATATGTCATTATTGAGTGCAATCAGAGAGTACATAACACACACCGGAGTTAACAAAACAGTAATACAAAGCCCCTCACTCTATATAGTGACAACTCAAATTCTACACTAGTAGTGAAAAGGCTCCTTATATGAAAAGGTTCAATTTGCAATGACATAACAAAAGAATTTGCTAAACGTAATCGGCCATGAACAGACAGACGTTTGCTTCGAAGTAAACGTGCACGATCCATCATTTCTGCAGTCTATGTTCCCATGTGTGGTATTATTTCAACTGTACCCCTGGAGCACTACCTAACGAAACAAA